TGTTAAAGTGAGCTGGTACCATAATGTCAGTGAATGGATGACGAGAGGGTTTGTGGTAAAGCTGGAGACAGGTCCTGCCAGGGCTAATCTGGCACACAGCAAAGACAGCAGGGAGGATTCACTGCTCCAGTGCTACCCATGATAATTAACTACCATGAACTTTTACCCAGTACAATCATCCCTTATATTAGATGCCCAGTAATACAACAAAAAATTTAGAAGTGCTAAGCCCCCTGTGGACCACGGTCTGTTTCAGACTAGGTGGCTTTTGTTCCAAATGAAGGAAGAAATTTGACTATTCAGATTGTTAAAGAAAGACTTGGTTAAAAAATTGGAAGACATTGGAAAAAATACAGAAATTTAGGAAATATACTCTTGATGATATTTATTCTACCCCCAGCGAAAGAGGCAAGGACTCCCACTTTCCAAAATCCTCTTTTAGCTAAGACAATAAAGGAGGATAATTCGTTTTATACAAGTCTTTGGTTCTGTGTCACCCAAATATTTAGTTATAGCTGGGTTTGAAAGGTGCTAAAATAGACGAAAATGCCCCAGTTGTCGTTCCTATAGGCATTGCCCCGCTCTTCCCAAAATTCACCTTGTATCCAGAAATTGTCCCAAATTCCTTAAGTATATCCAAAAGTTTAGGGAGGCTATTTGGAAATAAACAAAAACAAACAAAACCCCATGAGGAAATCAGTACAGTCAAAGCTTCACTCTGGTGACCCTGGCGGGTGATTGGCCTGATGTGGTAACCACAAATGATTATCAATATCAATTGAAATTAAATTTAATTCAGTTTCAATTTTATTTACACAGCATCAAATCACAACAACAGTCGCCTCAAGGCGCTTTATACTGTACAGTAGATCCTACAATAATAGATACAGAGAAAAAGCCAACAATCATATGACCCCCTATGAGCAGCACTTTGGCAACAGTGGGAAGGAAAAACTCCCTTTTAACAGGAAGAAAGCTCCAGCAGAACCAGGCTCAGGGGGGGCGGGGCCATCTGCTGTGATTGGTTGGAGTGAGAGAAGGAAGACAGGATAAAGACATGCTGTGGAAGAGAGACAGAGATTAATAACAGATATGATTCAATGCAGAGAGGTCTGTTAATACATAGTAAGTGAAGAAGAGACACCCAGTGCATCATGGGAATCCCCGGCAGCTATTGCAGCATAACTAAGGGAGGATTCAGGGTCACCTGGTCCAGCCCTAACTATATGCTTTAGCAAAAAGGAAAGTTTGAAGCCTAATCTTAAAAGTAGAGATAGTGTCTACCTTTAAGATTAAGCTTCAAACTTTTGTGATTAAAAAATCCTACGCGCCCGGTCGTCCCTGAAATACTCGTGTCACCAGAGGCAAACATCATTTCTGCTTTCTCATTAGAGACCAAACGGTGATTATTCTCAGGGATTCGTCAGAGCTCTGTGTGAACACATCTTCTTATCATGGTCATTCTGACCACAAACTGCAGCCGTCGTGTCAGGAAGGAGTGTGGAAAGCTTTCACCACTTCAGCTCTGGCCTGCACAGTCACAGCAATGTTACGGCACAAAGGTTATTATCATGGTGAAAACTCAGCTTCGGAAAAACCTGGAAAACCAAAAAATGAATGAAAAATGATTCATGAATGGGAGCGGTTCCCAAATTAAAAGTGTCAGAGGTTGTCAGGAGCCTACATGATGATGGTGTGGTTTAAAGGAGCCTACGCCACCTGCAGCTGTCACATTCACTAAACTGGTGTCTCACACTGATGTTAAGGTCAGCAGATGGTTTCACTGAAACAGCACCATTAATATAAGAGATAAGATAAGATAGAACTTTATTAATCCCTCGGGTGGGTTCCTCTGGGAAATTCGATTTCCAAAAAGCACAGCACCGACAGAAGTTACAGAATATTATACACACACACACACACACACACACACACACATAAAACACAGAGACAAATATAAATAAAATATACAAAGGGGATAAATAGAATAAATAGGAATAAAAAATAAAAATACAAGTGAATTGCACATTTCAAGTATTGAGTCTATTGCACTGTTGACTATTTACAAAAGGTATTGCACAGTGAGGTGAAGAGGCACTACAGCTTAGTTGTTCCCCCCTCCTTTGTCCTCCTGTCTCCCCTCCCTCTCCCCTCCAGAGAGGAGTTAAACAGTCTGATGGCGTGTGGGACAAAGGAGTTTTTAAGTCTGTTAGTTCTTGTCTTGGGGAGAAGCAACCTGTAGACATATATAAACCAGTGGACACAGCCATGTTCAGTCTACCTCTCACACACTGAGAAGAGACGTGTTAGTTTCACTTCAATAACAGTCTGACAGCAGGTGTGCAAAATATCTGTCAGTCACCTCACATTTAGATGACGTGTAAATGTTCAGAAGCAAAGCTGTGGTGAAATGCTGCCAACCCACAGCTGGGACAGTGGTGGTGTTGCTGGACCCCACTGGTGGGCTGATGTAAGCCACTGTACTTGGACAGTAACAGAACAGCTCGTTAGCAGGAAAACGTTTCAGTTGTGATTTTGGTCACACCCATGCGCTGTTTCACATGTCAGCCAATTTCGAAGAAGTCCCGATCAGCGTCGAGAAATTGGACTCGCCAGACAGCTTTTGAGATTACGTTGCCTTGACAACTGAGGGTGAAATCAGGAGGGGTTAAAAAAGGCTGATTAAATTTTCCACTATTTGCATGCCATCAGAAGAGTGGGATTTAGTGCGAATGCCTGTCTCTTGCTGATTAGCTTTTTAAATTCCAGTTTGGCACTTGCATGTTTATCAGAGCAGATTCTCTCGGTGGCTCCTCTCCACGTGTCAGCGGCCGACGGAGGCAGCGCCGTGTGGGACGCACCCTTAAAAGACGAGATGGCACACTCGCAGAAAGTGTTTGACCAATTTTGGAAAGAAATATTTGAGGCAGTCTGTTGTGTATTTTGGGTTATAACAGGATCCGTAGTGGGCTTGCCCCGATGCATTAGGGGAAATGATGCTTTTCGGCTGTTGCTCGGGCTAGCTCCATGTTAAGTTGCTCCGTTATAATAAATACCGCAAGTTACGTCGTGGTCCGAGTATCATTGTTATACTAGTAACCCGGAGTGAAGATATAACAAAAGTGGCGACGAGGACGTCTGGACGCTGCAGTCCGCTTTGGAGTTTTACATTTTTTTTTCCTGCTGATGCCTCGCGCTAACCTGGTGTTAGACGGCGCCGGAGGTAGGACGACGCTACCGGTGTGCGAAGGTGGATGCCGTTTTTTTTTTTCTCCTCAGCGAAACGGGGAGGAATGTACAGCGGACAGGACGACGAGGGCAGACTCCGTAAGTGACGTTAACCAAAACATAAACGGATAAAAGAGACGTTACGAAAAGGAACAGTTGTGAGGGGAAGAGTGCCATTCAACCAGGAGCCGAGTAATGGCTGGAGTTACTGGCCCTATCGGTCCCTTCGACGAAAGCACGGAGCAATGGAGCTCATATACGGAGCGTTTTGGATATTTCGTTGCGGCTAACGACATACAGGATGCTAAACTGGTGCCCATTTTTTTGAGTGTGATAGGCCCAAAGACTTTTACCCTGCTAAGGAGCCTGCTACAGCCAGCAAAGCCAGGCAGTAAAAGTTTCACAGAGATCGTGGACACACTGACCAAACACTTCTCGCCCAAGCCCCTCGTGATCGCTGAACGGTTCAAGTTTCACAAGCGAAACCAAGAAGAGGGTGAGTCTGTCACAATGTTCGTTGCATCGTTACGCAAATTAGCTGAACACTGTGAGTTTAAAGATGTTTTAAATGACACATTAAGAGACAGACTCGTGTGTGGTTTAAGAAATGAAGCTGCACAGAAGAAATTGCTCACGGAAAGTGATTTGACTCTTGAGAAGGCAATTAATATCAGTGTGACCATGGAAATGGCATCAAAAGAAGCCCATGCGCTACATGCTACAGACAGAGTACACAAACTAGACAATGGTAAAGCAAATGCACAGGGACCATGCTTCCGCTGTGGCAAGTTAGGACACCTTGCTAGTGATTGCTGGTGCAAAGAAATGGATTGCAACAACTGTGGAAAAAAAGGTCATGTAGCACGGGCATGCAGGAACAAAAGGTGCAAGGATAAGGGCTCAAAGCCTGGGAATAAAAGAGGCACTGCAAGATTCAAAAAAGAAAGACATGTTCACACAGTTAAGCTTCATGAGGATAGAGCAAATGACTCCTCAGATGAAGAAGTGTTGTCTGCAATAAATACTGTGCGAATACTGAAGGTGGACGAAACCTCAGACGGCTTTTGGGTCACGCCCAAACTGGAGGGACATGTTGTAAAAATGCAGATTGACACTGGGTCAAAAGCATCACTAGTGTCATATAATGTCTATAGGACATGTCTGAAGCACCTTCCACTCAAACCCTCCGACACAGTATTTAAAGGATATACTGGACATCGAGTGCCTATGAAAGGAATGGCAGAGGTGACTGTTCAATACAATGGCCAAACTGCTAAGCTGCCTGTGTATGTTACGCAGAAGAACTGCCCTGCTATAATGGGACGTGTGTGGCTCAAAACAATCAGACTCAACTGGCAAGAGGTGAGAAAGCTGTCGCATGGTTCCTCTCAGCTACAAGCCATACTGGGAAAACACCAGGAGGTTTTTCGTGAGGAGCTGGGCAGCATGAAAAAATTACAGTGAAGCTGCATCTCAAGCCTGACTCCAAGCCAGTCTTTATGAAGGCTAGACCTGTGCCGTACGCCATTCGGCCCAAGGTGGAGTCTAATTTAGACGCATTGGTCAAGAATGGTGTTCTGGAGCCGGTTACGACCAGCGAGTGGGCCACGCCCATCGTTCCAGTTCCCAAAAAGGACGGCGGAATCCGGATCTGCGGAGACTTCAAGGTATCCGTGAATCCTGTATTAACAGCAGAGCAGTATCCCCTTCCACTGATTGATGACTTATTTGCTGGTCTGAGTGGAGGACAAAAGTTCAGCAAAATAGATCTCAACCAAGCTTACCTGCAAATGCACGTTGAAGAGCAGTCACGTGACATGTTGACTATTAACACACATAAGGGACTTTTCAGATTTTGCAGGTTGCCTTTTGGCATCACATCAGCTCCAGCATTGTTTCAACGAGCGATAGATCAAATCCTGAGCGGATTACCTGGTGTGCAATGCTATCTGGATGATATCCTGTGTACAGGAGCAGATGATGAAGAGCATCTGCGCAACTTGGATGCGACCCTTCAGAGGCTGAAGGAATACGGATTGAGAGTCCGTAAGGAGAAATGTGACTTTTTCCAGTCATCTGTGGAATATCTAGGGCACGTGATTGATGCAAATGGACTTCACACTGCACCTTCGAAGATCACAGCAATCGTGGATGCACCCCCACCACGAAATGTCAGTCAGTTAAAGTCTTTCTTAGGGCTGTTGAACTACTACGGACGGTTCATACCCAACTTGGCATCACTCCTGAAACCACTGCACAACCTGCTACGCAAGGAAGAAGCATGGGAGTGGACAGCAAGCGGCCAAGACGCCTTTCAAAAGGCAAAGGATTCACTGACTGCATCTGAGGTGCTAACCCACTTCAATCCCAAGTTCCCAATTCAGCTTGCTTGTGATGCTTCTCCCTATGGGGTGGGGGCAGTGATTTCCCACATTCTCCCAAATGGCGAAGAAAGGCCAATTGCATTCGCATCAAGGACATTAAACACAGCAGAGTCCAACTATGCTCAGCTGGAACGAGAGGCGCTGAGCATTGTATTCGGTGTTCGGAAATTCCACCAGTACCTGTACGGTAGGAAGTTTACACTGTTTACTGACCATAGGCCTCTCACAACCATCCTGGGACCCTATACAGGGATTCCATCTCTTGCTGCTTCACGTCTCCAGAGGTGGGCGTTGATATTGTCAGGACATTCTTATGACATCAAGTATCGCAAATCGGAGTCTCATTGCAATGCAGATGGGTTGTCCAGGTTACCCCTTCCTGTTAAAAAACCCGTCTCTGACACAGTTGAGATCCTCTACTTCAGGGAGGTAGAGACAGCACCTGTTTCGGCTGTGCAGGTGAAAAAGGCGTCCAGAAATGACCCTGTGTTGGCAGCAGTGCTGGACTGGATCATTAAGGGTCTGCCTGCAAGTAAGGGTGTAGACCTGAAGGCTTTCCTGGGAAAGCGGGTGGAGCTTTCTGTTCAGGCGGGATGTTTGCTGTGGGGGAGGAGAGTCATCATTCCCATGTCACTGCGACCAAAACTGTTGAAGCAACTGCATGCAGGACATAGTGGAATAGTGAGAATGAAGGAAATAGCGAGAAGCTATTTTTGGTGGCCAAATATGGACAAACAGATCGAGGAGATTGCTAAGAACTGCTCTTCGTGTCAGATGGTCCGGAACAACCCACCACTTGCTCCTCTTCATCCCTGGGAGTTCCCACAGGAGCCATGGCATCGGGTACACATTGACTTTGCAGGTCCATACGAGGACAAAATGTTTCTTGTAGCTGTTGATGCACACAGTAAATGGCCTGAAGTGACCATCATGAAATCAGCCACCACTGAAAAGACCATAGAAGCTCTAGGAGAAATGTGCAGTAGGTTTGGATCTCCTACTCAGATAGTCTCTGACAATGGACCTCAACTGGTTTCACAGGAAATGGAGGCTTTCCTACAGGCTAATGGAGTGCAGCACATTACGTCAGCTCCATACCATCCTGCAACGAATGGTCTTGCAGAAAGGTTTGTTCAGACAATGAAACATGCACTGAAAACATCACAAGGCCAAGGAACACTGCATCAGAGACTGCACAAGTTTCTGCTTAACTACCGGAATAGTCCACATGCGACCACAAGGACATCTCCTGCCAACGCAATGTTCAAAAGAGATCTGCGCACTACCTTTGATCTTTTGAAACCCTCAACTGTGAAGGACACTGTACAAAAACAACAAGAGAAACAAATCATGTACAGGGTCAAAAGGTCAAGGGTAGAGTCTTCAGCACCGGCGAGTCAGTGCAGGCCAGGAACTACCGAGGAGTACACAAGTGGGTTCCTGCAACTGTCATTGCTCAAACTGGTCCAGTTTCATATACAGTTCAGGTGGCCGATGGAGTCTGGAGAAGACACGTGGATCAGCTACTCTGGTCCGCACCAGTGTCTGCAGAAGGGTCTTGCGGAGATCTTGAAAATGCACTCATCGACTCGTCAGCCCCTTCACACACACAAGTAGAGAACTCCACCACATCAGGAACAGTGGTTCCACCTGTAAAGGAGACTGTAAGAGAGACTGAGACATCTTCGGTGTCAGGAACAAAGGCTCCACAAGAGAGCACACAGACTGACGTTACCACAGACCGCCGATACCCCAATAGAGAGCGGCGGCCTCCTGTTCGTCTGAGTTATTAGATGGCACCTGACCCAAATGAACGGGGCAGAATAATCCCCATGGGTCATGGGGGAGGTTGAGGTAGTCCACCCTCACTCCCCAAGATAGCAATTAAAAGAGTTGGTGTTGTAACCTTACAGTTAATAAGAGGTGAAATGTTTGTGAGGCTATTACTGTCATGTGCCAGTGAAGACTGAAGTTTGTGAGTAGATCACCTGTTTATTTCATAGTACATCCTTTGTAAGAGGGGAGGAGATGTTGTGTATTTTGGGTTATAACAGGATCCGTAGTGGGCTTGCCCCGATGCATTAGGGGAAATGATGCTTTTCGGCTGTTGCTCGGGCTAGCTCCATGTTAAGTTGCTTCGTTATAATAAATACCGCAAGTTACGTCGTGGTCCGAGTATCATTGTTATACTAGTAACCCGGAGTGAAGATATAACACAGTCGTACCCAGTGTGGTACATTTTAATGCCCTCACACTTTGATGAGCTGATTCTAGGCTCCCGTGGGCAGTGGAAACATCTGCCTGTTCCTGCTGTCTCCGTGTACAGGGAGGAACACGGGAGGAACTGCCTGCCGGGCCGCTAACGTTTACAAGACTGCAGTGTTTAACGGAAGGAAAGAACGTGGCAGAGGGTCACATCCTAGTTGGATGCTTGCAGGGTCGTTAATGACAAAGTAACTTGTTATTACAGCAGATAACATTTAACATGGATACATATGATAACCTTCTGTTTCAGGCCTCACTGATTAGAAACAGCTGATAGGACCACGTGGTCTCTGCTGGGTTTGAGAAACCTGAAGTTGAGTAAGGACATTATGTTCTCCACATTGGTTGCTGAGATGGGGACACATCATCGAGGCGAGGAAAGGTCCAAGCACCTGTACATACCCAGAGGTAGCCTGCCTTTGAGCATGTCTGTACAGATGTAGTACAGCAGGTGTCCACAGGATGTAGGAAGCTGTCTCTCTGACAACCTTAGAAAGAAGGCGATGATGCTCGTGTTGCTCTGACAAGCTCCCACAGGCGTCCTCGGGCCATAACCAGAACAGAAGCTCACAGACGACCGTGTGACAGCGAGCAGACACGAGCTCGGCTGATTCGGGGATGTTTGCATCATTCTCCATGTAAGCAAGCCCAGCAAGAAAACAACATGAATGTCTGCTACTCGTTTCTGCACAGTCACGTTTCCATTGAATGACTCTGTGACTGCAGGAATGTTTAGCTGGCACAAATGTTCGTGCTGCAGGCAAACACATATCAGCCCGTATGGAAAAGATCTATAAATCTTCTAACGTTTGTGTCTGTCGTGTGTGAAACTTGTATGAAAAGCATACGAGAGTGAAAACAGATATAAGATCCCTTGAAAAATTATATAAATGAAACGTGTATGTTTTGGATACTTCCTAAAACAATATGTGAAAGTGATGAGAAACGAGTAAGTCATATATGAGTCACTATATGAAACAGGCCACATGTCATGCACGTCTTTTATGAGTTTTTTCTATTTCTTTTCCATGTGGCAGGTTTCCACTCATCATCTAATGTCCATTTGTTAGGTCTGGGTAACGTCTTAGACTCTTCTCTTCTAATAAGTACAAATCTACATGACTTTACTAAGACCAGGGATACAGAACTGTGTCGCTCACATGCATGCACTCAGACCCACTAGTTAATATAATCAGTACCCAGAGGACACACGAGGACACGGGGAAGCCCAACACTTTCATTTACACTCCGACAGCTCAGAAATGAAAATGCTTTGAATGTTTTCATGAACGGTGAAGTGATGATCTGTCCTGCAGTCGTTCATCAGCCGTCTGAGGCTCTGTCCTAACAGTGGCGTGGAGTTCGCTGTGTGTGTTTGACAGTGTCGTGTTTCGGTCCTTCAAAAACAACAAGATTGTCATAGAAATGTGAATGTGTGAGTGTAAAGGACTCGCCCTGCTTTGACACTGCTCCAAAGGAACATTACAAATGTAAAATGGATTTAGCTTTTTCATCCATGAATCTCTTTCAGACAGGCACTGCATGTCAGAGCTACCATACAGTACCACCAAACCCAAAAGCTGGTAATGACCACAAGCACCACTGTTTGTGTGAAACACCCTGATCTGTCTCGCTGACGCTCTTCAGCACAATTATAGCTCTGTGATCGCTCGGGAAATGAGTCCTCGAAACCTGGAGTCACTGCTAGAGACATATAACCAGGCACGATAGCTCCCAGAGAGAGGGCCAATAAAGGACGGGGGATGGTGCAAAGAGGATGACGAGGAGGTGGGAGGGTGAGAGTGACAGGAGGAGGGGGGCTGTTAGAGTGCAGGGGGGCTGTGCAGCAGGTAGAGCCGCTAGGTGAGATAAAAAAGAAATCATTCAGTCAATCAGTCCGGGCCGTGGTGCAATCATGAGATCTCATCTGCTTTCAAGAGCAATTCTGCCTTTATTGAGCTGTTGTGTCTCAAACAGGGAGGCTGCAGCGGCCAAGCTTAACCCGTGCACTGCCAGATAGAGCTGTCACCACACACTAATAAAGTATTCCTACCTGACTTCAGCGTGCTGCTGAGAACTAACGATGAGCTGTTTCCTTCAGATCTCAGCCTCAAGGTCAGCGCTGAAGTGACCAAGCCCACCTACGGGTGCCAGGTGACCATCCAATCAGAGCAGGAGAAACAAATGCTAAAGATGTATCGAAGGGAGGAGAAGAAAGAGAGGAAGAGATTCAAAGGAGGCGATGAGGGTGACTCTACGGATGCTCTCCTGACCTTTGACCCCAGAGAGATGAGAGCCCAGCGGTACGTCGTCTCTACAAACCTCATCTTAGTGTCTGTGTGTCTTTGTTGTGTGCCCACCTGGGCTCTCAGGTGTGTGTGACTGGCAGCCTCCTGCATTTTTCATGACGGCTTCAAAAAAGCAAAGCTGCTTTTCTTTGGGGGGGGCTGGGGGGGGGCAGGAAGATCCTTCCAAAAGTTTAATCTCAGAGGGTAAAAAAGCAGCGATCTGTTTAATTAAAATGTTAGCGTGTGCAGATCCAGCGCAGTGTGAAGACAAAGATTAGCCCCTTTATAAAGCCTCACATCTTTGCCTCTTCACTGGGCTCATCCATCACAGGTTTGTTTCCACAGCTGTGGATCAAGATGAGGGCCGGGCCGTGGATCTGACACTGTGCCAATTTAAATGTTAAAGCTCTGTTTACTGTCTTACTGTTGTACGTGTGCCTCGGTGCAGAGAGCAGGCCCTGCTGACTGCCCGCCACGAACCTGTGCTGAGCAGAGACAGGGTCTACGAGCGGATCCGATATCCCAACGTCTACGACAACCTCGCAGAGGCCACGAAGACGGCTGCGTTTGTGGGAGGAGCCAGGGTGAGGCTGATTTTACTGTGCTGCACTCTCTGCCTCTGATGTGTGACATGACCCACAGGTTTAAAGTGCGCGTGCTCTGTGCTTCGTTTTTCCTTTTCTTACTGTTCTGGAGGAAGGCTAAATCATTTATCTGTGCAGCGGGGATAATCCCATCTTAACATTGTGTGATAACATCATTCTTGCTGCTTCATTGCATTTTACACTGTGGGAGATGGCTCTCACGAAGTCTGAGCCCGTGTCAGAGTGTAGAATCACTTTAGTGGCTGTCAGGCTGCTGAACGAATCACAGAGAAGAAACACAGTGTGACCATCTCACGGCGTGGGTCTGTGACCACGACACAGTGCTGAGAACCATCACAGGAAATAGTCTCTGGGCTCAGTACGCATGTGTCTGTGCAGCAGCAGGTCTCCTTAATCACTGGCTTCTGCTGCTCGGTAAATGAATGAACGTGTGTGAGAAAAGTGATTAAGCCTGAAGAACATCTGGAACTAAAGGCTCAGCGATCAGCTTGAGCTGTCGGGCAGAAGGAAACGTTTCATATGACCGAACCAGCTGACTGCTTCATGAAGCATGTTTCCTCCATCAGCTGGTAGAAGCTGTTCCTCTGCACAGACAGGACGTAGGTTCACTGATGATGGTCAGAGATGGGGCGCTCTAGTGTAGAAAGCTGAGCTCGTGTACTCGTGAACCTGTAAGTCAGACGCTTCCACAGTGGCTTCATTTCCCATGTGACAGTTACTGGAGTCGGTCAGGTGGGCTCTTTTTCTCTTGACTGATTTATACGTGGAATAAATGTATAGGCACTGACTTGATGTTCATATTTAGTCTTTATTATCATCAGTGACAGTTTCAACGTGGTTATGTTAGACTCTGTAGTCACATAGAGAACATGCTACAGACCCAGTCTGGGCTCAGAGAGGCGTTTTGCTCTGTGGACCTACATCCTGTGTTGTGTTATGGACCCAGGCTCCTCTGTGCTGTTCATCTCTAACTCCCACTTAACTCCAAATACCAAGTACACTCTGCTCATAGTGTTTTGCATTTTTGCAGTGGGGAAACTAAACGTATTGCTTCAGATTCACAGTGTTCAAATTCCTGTTAAATGTTCTGTGTCTTATGAAGCGCCTTGAGGCGACTTTTGTTGTGATTTGGCGCTATATAAATAAAATTGAATTGAATTGAATTGAATTGAATTGAGATATTGTGTCAAACCTTTTCTTCTGTTTGGTCGTTCAGATGCTGCTGCCCGAGGGAATCCGCAGAGAAAACTGTAAGATGTACGAAGAAGTGGAGATCCCACCCAATGAGCCCATGCCTGTTGGGTTTGAAGAAAAGCCCGTCTACATCTCTGAAATAGACGAGGTAGGAGCTGCTGTGTGCTTAGATCTGATCTGTTTGCGGGGACCAACAGCCAGCTGTGGGGACAAACGCCCCGCCCCCACAGGTCTGAAGCCATGTTTGAGGCTCACAGTGGTTTTAGTGTCAGGGTTCAGTTTATGTTCAATAGTCCTCACTAAGATATGAAAACGAGTGTGTGTGTGTGTGTGTGTGTGTGCATTAAAAACCATGAGAATGTTAATATGGAGAATATTGACCATAACCACAATGCTTACTGGAAACCCCCCCGCCTCCACATGTCCCACATATGTACACTACAGGTCCTTCCACAGCAGCCACAGTCACAGCAGCACTCCAGGTCACTTCTATCTTCTTTCAGTTCAGACTGGGTGAACTGGTCTATCTCCAGCTTAAGTTCACACTGTTTACTTTCCCAGCATTTACTCTGTCTTGTGTCTGTGATCACCTTCTTGATATTAGTCTTATAATTATAGACGCAGCTTTCTGTTTGAGAGTACGATTCCACATTCATGACGTTTGGTTAGTTGGTGATCGAATGTTGATGGCCATCTGTCTGTACGAGTTAGCCTGGGTCGACCCGGGTTTGTACCCTTCCCTCTCTGTCACAGCTCAGAAAGGCTCCGTCCTCCTGAGCCCGGGAAAATCCTGACGTAGAAAAGCAGTGTGGTGTTAATGAAATACACCTGTGTTGTCTCTGCACGGCGTCTCGGGTGGCACGCTTGAGTGAGACGTAGCACACTGAGGTCCTCACACTCGATGAAATAACTGGCTGCTGTACTTCATCAAGTACCTGAGCATGAACCACAGGAACTGTTTGTGTGTCTGTTAAGCTGCCAGGAGAAGTTGATCATGTGACTGTAGCACTCACAGCTGTCAGCCTGAGTGGCAGCTTGATGGACAAACCCACACTCACACTGGTACGTTCTGACTGTACCCAGTCACCATTAGGCCAAGCAAGAGAGAGCAGCAGGCTGGAGAACCTGCAGCTGAGTTCGATCTGTCTTAGAGAGGAGCAGGACTGCATCAGAGTGCACACTCATCGAAAGCGCTGCTCTGATGCTGCTGTTGAAGATGCAGCAGAAGATCACGTCATGAAGACACCAACGTGGAGCATCCATGAAGCTCAAAGCTGCAGGAAATGAGTGTAACTGTTACCACTGTTAGCCTTCATGTCATTCACGCTGACACAATCATAAACAGGACTGATCGCTGTGACGGAAGCATGTGTGTCCTGTGCTGTGACTAACTGATGCATGGATGCTTTAATCACATCAACGCGTTGTGCCTTTTGTTGTCGTCACAGTTGAGCATACTTGCTCCTGTGTGTGTGTGTGTGTGTGTGTGTGTGTGTACTTCAGTAGCTGTCAGCTTCAATCTTCATCAGTGTGTCTTTCAGCACTTCACCACTAATCCTTTCATTAGTCACAGAAACAGAGCAGGGTGCCACATTCCTCCGTTCAGCTTCCTCTCTGTGTTTCTGCAACAAGAAGCAGCTCAGAGGAGATTCCCAGATATAATCCAACCCCGTCCCACACCCGTCTGTGACTTCTGCTGCACACCTCACCGCTGTGCTCATACATGCACTGCACCAGCCTCCGGTAGTGTTGTGCCACTCCCAGCAGCACCTGCAGTACCTTCAGCATCTGCACTGTCAAACCTCTGCAGGCCTCGTTCTTGCCGTAACGCCATGGTCCTCCTCACTGATTGTCACTTCCATTCTTATCTTCAGCTCAGTTTTCTGAATAAAGTCTTTTACATAGAACAGACTCTGCCTTACAGAGCAGGAGGAACCCCATCAGAGCAAGCACTTTGTGCCAGTAGGAAGGAAAAACTCCCTTTTTAAAGGAAGTAACCTCAAGCAGACCGGACAGGGCTGAGTGTAAGGAGAAGAGAGCAGCAAGAGCTGGTTCATTACTAATGACTAAACACAGCCGTGATGTGTAAACGCACAGGTAGTGACAGGGAGAGTAACAAAGGTGTTACATGCTGCACTGAGGTGCACCGGGACGATCACAGAGTCCACTCACAAGCCAATAAGATCATTTGTACCTTTCATCATTTTATTAGAATTATTCAATCAGAACTGAGCACGAAATCGAATAAAAAGTCTGAGAAACAAAACACTGAATAATGACCACAAACAAAACTATGATTTGAACAAAGCTAAGAGTAAGTAAATGAATCCAAACGGAGTTATTTATGGCTGCCACATCGACTCTCACAGTAAATACACCGACGTATTCATCGTGTTGTGAGCAGCTTTCTTTATTACTCATCATAAAATCACGGACTCACAGGGACGAGAGCCACCTCATGTTCAGTTGTCCACATGTATTGGCTTCGTTGTAGGTACAGTTGAAGGTTTTATAATCCTCGTCTCTTGTGAACGCTAGCTGTAAATTGTTGTGTTTTTTATATCAGCATTGGACTGGTTCTGATGGTCTGGTTTTGGGAGGTTGGGGGGACGAGAGTAAAGACACAACGCTGCCGGTCATCTTCTGGTCCCAGCTCTGGATGCCCACAGAGAGCGAGCTGCTCCATCCACAGTGGGATGATGCCTCTCTGTGAACAAGGCCAGCACTGCAACATGCAGCTGATCATGTCACTCCTCAGGTTCAAAGGAAGACTAGTCCCCACGCGTATGAGCAAAATGACATGTGGTGACCTCTACCTGACACAGCTGTGTGGTCACTCCTGACCCGAGTGTGTGTCCTTAGCCCACAGGGTGTAACGTGTTGTCTGTTAGAGGGAGTGTGTGCTCTGATAAAGCACACGACTGCAAAAGTAGTCACTATGTAAATGTTAGAAATGAATCGAGCTGCACAACGCAGCGCTGTGTGACAGGCACAGGAAGTGAAACCATGCATAGTTTCATGTTGCTCTTCTTGTTCTCTCCAGCATTATGTTAAACAGTCTCATCTCCAGCTAACTGTCCTTCCTCTGTCCTCCCCCATCTCTCTCTCTGCATCCATCAGCTCCTTTCTCTCTGCACACACTTTCTTCACTTGTTAGCACATTTCACACTCCTCAGCCAGCTGTGCTGCACATCCTTTCCAGCCTCTGACTAACCAGGTGACAGAAGTCTTAGTGTCCAGTCTGCTTTGTCCCAGCACTCCTGTCGACTCCTCCATGTCCCTCACTGTCCCGGAGCCTCAACTCCTCCCTGAACTCTGTGCAGCATCTTTCTTCAGCTTTCACCATTTAATCCTCGTTTTCACCATGGCTTGTTATTATGCAGTTATTCTACAGACTAGCATCCAGTGTTGCCCAGCTACATTCTCCCCTGATCTCTTTCAGATTTTACCTTCTGATATAGATGTGGTCCACCTGTGTGCATCGCCCTGTTCTTCCCTCTTCTTGAAGTACATGTTTTCCACAGTCTTTTCTGTCATTTTCACAAAGTTCATCGTCGTCTGTCCTTCAGTATTTGTCTTCCTAACACCTACCCATCATCACCTCTCTTCCCTTCATCTACATGCACTATACAGTCTGCTTCAGTCACCACACTGTCTCACCCTGCTTCATCAACAAAAGAAGACTTTTCCATTGCTTAGACAGATGAACATGAGATGAACGTGCAGCTGAATAAGAGATGGAGTCAGTAGAAGGAAGGAGCCAGAATCCCACGTTACTGATCAGGTGTGGTAGAGGCGTAGTGCAGTACGAGTGCAGTGGGAATGGTGCTGTAGTGTGTGTTGATGGTGTGACTTTTGAAGTTCTACCTTAAGCTCAGACTTAGTGCAATGCTGCAAATCAGATGAACAGCTGTTCAGCGTGCAGGCAGATAATGAGTGAAAACTACCCAGCAGCGTCTTAAGGCAAAGCGTTGTGAAACGGGATTCAGCTCCTCCATCCTGCTGAGTGTGGTTTTCACTTTCACAAAGCTGAGACCAGCAGCGGCTGGAGCGGCTGCATTAAAGGTCTAAACTTTATGCACACTTTCAGCTGCCTGTTGTTGTATGTTGGCACCAAATAAATAAGATTGAATTGAATGGAGTCATTCAGTTGTTAATTACTGTGAAGTATTTAGACGCGTCAGCCTTTACAGCTAAATGAAACACAAAGTTACACATTGTTGACTTGAATCAAATGTCGAGTTATTTCTGAATCGTGTCCCTGCTTCACTCTTTAATGTCCCTGCCCCCCCCTCAGAGTTTCTTTCCCTCTTTCACTTCCTGTGTAACTGATCTACATCGATATAGAAGCTCTTCTGCTGAGCGATGTGAATTAGCCTCAGTCAAGCAGCGGCTCTATTCATTAACTTAAGCCTGGGCAACTGTGGAACAAAGTGCCTCGCTGCTGAAGCGCCAGCACACAATGCCTAACACGTCTTTATTTGCTATTAGGATGGCTTTGAAAGGCAAGCTGAAAAGTGTGACGCTGCCGCTTCCTTCCAGTTTACTCTGCTGCCGTTTGTCATTTATTGAAAGCTGTAATGGGGAATGGGGCTGGCATTCCTTTTAACAGTGTGAAACATTAAAAGTGAGGAATTTATTAAGGTGCTTTTCAGCGAATGAATCAGGGTCTCCGTATCCTGCACTGCCACCATGGTAAAAGCCTTCCTAATTGGTCCAAATAGATATGTACTGAGTGTGCAGAGTTAGAGCGAGTGCCAGTCAAACATGTACAGAAACTGCTGCTTCTGCTTGCTGATTTACAGCAGAACGCAGCTGAAACTTGGATACGGAGACCAGTATTGACACACACACATGGCCTAAGCTGCTAATTGGTAGGAATTCACTCAGGCTGCTAACACATTCTGAAAAAATGACATGCTCCCGCAGGGAAAAGGTCTGTAGAGGGATAAGGATTAAGGAACACAGAAAGCTTTGCTCTTTAGCAGCTGAAGGAGAGTAGAGTGTGGGCTGGTTGAAAGGCATAAGTAATGAGTGCCCCCCCCCCACTGCATATCATTCTGCTGCCTGATACTCGACGAACTGGCATTATGGCTCATTTAAATGTTTTTCTTAATGAATGGAGTATATTTAAACAGACATTGTAGT